GGTTATCACAGAATATGAGTTTTAGGGTACTAACACACCTTCTTCAGGTCCTTGGCAAAATTTACGTCCAATTTTTTCCCAAATGTCTTTATATGGATCGACGCAGTTTTTGATGGACTTTCTGAAAATGAACTCAAATTTGTGGGGCCATTGCACATTGGTACATCTTGGGTCAAAATACTTGAAAAAGTCACCTATCAAGAAGGTAGAATTTTTCTAGTGTAAAATTTTGAGGAGGCTCGAAATGACTGCAAAAATTATCTCTTATACTGATGCATGAAGTTTTCTTTGTGATTGATTAATTTACAAGGATGAACACCCAGCGGTGTATATCTTACAGTTAATCTGGATCCAATATAAATATGGTACTTTTTATTTAATTGAACAAATTTCAATATGTATTTTGTTGATTTTTCATTCATAAATCAATAAAATCGATGATCTTATTAAAAGAAAAAACAATTCTATACATTTAGTCAATTTGTTTATGAGAGATTGATTGAAAAACTGGAGTCATGTAGTGTGCTCTATCTCTGAATTTAGTGATAAGATCGAAAATGTTTTGACTTCATCAGATCTGTCGTATCTAAATTGACCATTTTAGACATCAAAATAAGTTTTGACATTTTCAGAATTCTATCAGAATCATGGATCTTAATCCTAAAAAAGCCGAGGGTATTTTTTAACAACGAGAGAAAGCTGATCACAAAAACAGAGATTATGGACCTTCAGTATGCTCATACTATAACTAAAAAGAATTATCTTGTTCTTCTTCTAGATTTATGGCATATCCATTGAAAAGAACATTCCACCTTATAGAAGAATGAAAAGAAAGCACTTTTGCGGGTGTGAGTGTTGAGGTGAATGTTCACTTCCACAGGACCGACATCCACACCCATACCCTAGATTTTCTTGCAATTAACAATATTATATCAAAATTTTTTTTATTTGAACAAAAATTAAACATTTGATTCCAAAGAAACGATTGGCTAGTTTAATATTTATAAAAAATATAAGATAGTTTATCAATAATTAGATGAAAACTTTCATCGTTTTTCGAGTTTGACAAAAACTTTTTCAGGTGTAATGACGATTTCTTCACACATATTCAACTCATATTTTTCTTGTGATGGTGGTAAAATCTGGTATGTACTCATTAGTCGAGCTAAACATGATTTTATTTCCACTAAAATAACCAAGACAAGATATTAATAAATAGATATCACAAATGACATAAGACTCACTAAGTGCAAATCGCATGCCAATACATGTACGTGGTCCTCCACCAAATGGCATATAAGCTAGTGGATGTCGTTTGCAAGAATGACGTTCTGGATGAAATTCATCAACAGGTTCAGGACCCCAAAGTTCTTGATCATAATGAACTGAAAGCACATCTACTTGAATTGATGAACCTAATCAAAACAAATAATGTATTCTTTTTGTATTCTTCAATATAAGGTAAAACCTTTTTGAATATGATATCCAGCAACATGAGTATCTTCCATACATTCGCGATTTATAGCTTGAACAGCAATAGGATGCATACGTAAAACTTCTCGAACA